TTTTCCATCTTGATTTTACAGAGATGATTTTTACCTTTTTCTTTAATTAAAAGCCTTCTTTTTAAGAACCTGATTGATTTTTCCTTGTTTTTAGATCCAAGGGGGTTGGATCTGTATTCACCAGGGAATTGGTGAAGAGTCTCTCAAGGCTACCCAGGGAAGGGAATTAGTACATTGGGAGTGGTGGCAGCGGACCAGACCTAAGCTGGTAGTTAAGCTTAGAAGTTTTCATGCAGGCTCCCACATCTGTACCGTAAAGTTCAGAGTGGAGAAGGAGCCTTGACAATATGTTTTATTTGAGGGAAAACGTAGAGACCCTGAGGGTTTTCTTGAGAGAGAATCTGCTGAAATCTCAGTAGAACCAGGAATGGACCTACAATACAGGGGCCAGGATGTGAAAATTTAAGCCCAGTGATAGGGATGGTTGTTATTGCCAACCCTGAAGTCAAAACCACTGGCCAAGTGGCAAGAACCATTCAAGGTTGTAAACATGGCAAGAGTAGTTGATTATGAAATCCACCATTCAGGGAAGAGGAAAGAGACATAGTCGTACCCATGTGAACCAGCTGACAGCTTGGAAGGATCAAGAGGGTCCCCTCATAACACCTTTTCCACTGGAAAATGAGCTCAGCCCACAAGTGACTTTAATTCATTATTCTAGCCTGAACAGAAACAGCAAATACAATAGCTAATCTAAGACCTTCCCTCGGTGTTCTTATCACTGCCAGAATAAACCATCTAGCTTCCCATCATGTGGATACCAAGATGGGGGGAAAAGGTCCTTGAGAATCCCGTGGAAATTGTGGGAAATGGTCTGCCAGAAACTACTGGCCGTTTTGGACCTTGGGGTCATTGGGGAATCTCCTAGTGCAGCCCTTTTCAAACTTGGGGTCCCCACCCAAAAGGGGGTCACAAGGCTAGTGCAGGGGGATTGCAAGTAGGGTGACCATATGTCCAGGTTTCCTCAGACATCTCTGTCGGGGTGGATTTTTAAAATATGAATAAAAGTCTGTGATTTTTCCTTGCCTTCCAAGCTTGGCAATTGGACTGCGGCAGCCGCTGGCCAGGTGCCCAGCTCTGAAGACAGTGCAGCCACTAACAGCAGCGCCGAAGGAAGGATGGCATGGTATGGTATTGCCACTCTTCCTTCTGAGCTGCTGCTGATGGCAGCACTGCCTTCTGATCTGGACAGACATAGAGTGTCATCTCCTGGCTGGATGCCCAGCTGTGAAGGCAGCACCACTGCCAGCAACAGCGCAGAAGGAAGGGTGGCATGGTATGGTATTCTCACTCTTCCTTCTGCACTGCTGCTGGCGTTGGCACTGCCTTCCAAGCTGGACGGCTGGAGCATGGTGGCCGCTGGCCAGGCTCAGCACTGAAGGCAGTGCCACCACCATCAACAGCATAGAAAGAAGGGTGGCACAGTGTGGTATTGGTATCCTTCCTCCTGTGTTGCTGCTGGCTGCAGTGTTGCCTTTTGAGCTGGGCAGCTGGAGAGCAGCCGCCGGTCTGCAGCCTCCCAGATCTGAAGGCAAGAAAAAATCATGGACATTTTTTCATATTTCAAAATTTCGCCTGAATGGATATCAGAGGACCAAAAGAGAAGTCATGTCTGGGAAAACCTGGACATATGGTCACCTTACTCACAACCCCCCTACACTAGCCTTGCAACCCCTTTTTGGGTCTGGATCCCCAGTTTGAGAAATGCTGCACTAGGGAATTCCCCAAAGACCTCTAGGTCCAACACGGCCAATAGTTCTTGGGTTGGGGGGGGGGGGTTTCCCACATCTTCCGCTGATGGGGTTGTAAATTCTCAGAACATTTTTTCATATTTCAAAAACCCACCATGATGGATATCAGAGGACCAAAAAAGAGGTCATGTCCAGAAAAACTTGGACATATGGTAACCCTGTCAAAACAGCAGAACCCCTCGCATTGTGTCCAGATACTTTTTTGTATATAGTTGTGTATAAAGACACAATCCTTGGACAATGTGATGATTATTGCCACAATCACTGGTAAACACTTCCAATTTCCCAAATTGTATCCTGTTGTCTATATTTTTTCAGAAAACATGTTTTTTAAATGTCATAAGAACATAAGAACGGCCGTACTGGGTCAGACCAAAAGTCCATCTAGCTCAGTATCCTGTCTATTGACAGTGACCAATGTCAGGTGCCCCAGAGGGAGTGAACCTAACAGGTAATGATCAAGTGATCTCTCTCCTGCCATCCATCTCCACCCTCTGACAAACAGAGGCTAGGGACACCATTCCTTACCCATCCTGGCTAATAGCCATTAATGGACTTAACCTCCATAAATTTAATCTTCTTCTTGGTAGTCCATCGAATCCGATGATGACAAATCTGTGCAGATCATCAGTTGTTGGTCTTATGGTGTGCCCTCTGGTGACTGTACAAGCCAATTCTAGAGGTGCACATTTTGCTGCAGATGGTGCATGGGAAGTTCGCGGTCAATGGATTGTGCACTGCTGATGCTCTGTGACATCGTTCGCGTGCCTCTTGTAGACACCGGCAGCGGTCTTCCTCAAAGGTGATGCAGGTATTTTTGACTGTTGTACGCCACTGTGTTCTGTCGCTGGTGGCGTCCTCAAGGTCCCTAGGTTTGATACTGCTGTAGTGCAGATTGGCTTTGATGGTGTCCTTGTAATGTTTCCGTGGACGACCTATATGCCTGATGCCCTGGGAGAGCTCACCATACAGAAGCTGGCAGGGGATTCTGTTGGCATCCATGCGGCTGACATGACCGGTCCAACGTAGCTGTGACTTCATGATCATCATTTCGATGCTTGTCATCTGGGCTTTCTCGAGGACCTCGAGATTGGGCACTTTGTCTTGCCAGAGGATCTTCATAATGTTGCGGAGGCCGCGCATGTGAAATGCTTCGAGCTGCTTGATGTGACGCCTATATAAGTGTCCAGGTTTTGCACCCGTACAAAAGAGATGAAAGAACAACAGCTCTGTACACAAGCAGTTTTGTTGACATCTGGAAGTTGTGGTGATTTAAAACTTTGACACGCAGACAGCCAAGCGCCTGGCTTGCTTTGGATATTCGTGCATTGATCTAATTATCCAGTGATCCATCACTGGATATGACACTACCCAGATATTTAAAGTTCTCCACTACTTTCAGTTGAGGGCTGTTAATGGAGATACTCGGGACAGAAGCATTTGATCCAGGTGCAGGTTGATGGAGAACTTCTGTCTTTCCGTCTGATAGTCCGAAAAGTTGTGAGGCCTCAGCAAACTTGTTGACAATGTGCTAAAGATCATTTTCAGTGTGAGCCATGAGGGCACAGTCGTCAGCAAAGAGTGCCTCAAGAAGGAGTTTCTACACTGTCTTAGTCTTTGCATTCAGGCGACGGAGGTCAAAAAGTGAACCATCGTGCCGGTATTTCAAGTATATACCTTGGTCCAGTTCTTTCAGTGCATGGTTAAGGACACATGCAAAGAACAGGTTAAATAGGACAGGAGCGAGAACACATCCTTGTTTCATGCCGTTGGTGATGTTAAAGGGGGCTGATGTGGCTCCATCAGACAATACTTCGCCTGTCATGAAAAAGGCGTATAATCTGGACAAATTTTCTTAGGCAGCCAAGTCGTGTTAGAATGGTCCAAAGGACTTCCCTGCTGATGGTATCAAACGCCTTTGTCAGATCTATGAAGACAGTATACAGGTGCATGTTCTGTTCAATGCACTTCTCTTGTATTTGTCTGACAGCAAACACCATGTCGACTGTGCTCCGGCCAGGTTGAAAACCACATTGACTTTCAGGTAGATTTACCTTGGAAATACTGGCTATTAGGTGGTTCAAGATGATGAGGGCGATGATCTTCCCTCCAACAGAGAGGAGGGATATGCCTCTATAGTTTCCACATTCTGTTTTGCTGCCTTTGTTCTTGAAAAGAGAGACAATAGTAGCATTGCGAAGGTCCTGTGGTATATTTTCATCCTCTCAGATGTTGATGATCACGCTGTGGAACGCTGCTAGTGCTGCTGGACCTGCTGCTTTATATATCTCTGCTGGTATCCAATCTTTTCCAGGAGCTTTCCCTGAATTCATCTGGCTAACAGCTTTCTTAATCTCATCTATAGTGGGCGGAACGTCAAGATCTGTCAGAGCAGGTTGTTGTGGAATTTCATTAAGGACATTAAGGACAAGGTTGATGGTCTATTGAGAAGGTTGCTAAAGTGTTCTCGCCATCTTTCGTTGATGCCTTCTTTATCTTTAATCAGCATTGTGTTGTCTAATGAGAGCAATGGGGTGGTCCTTGGTTTAAAGGGTCCATAGACAGTCTTAATAGCACTAAAGAACATCTTTAAGTTGTGGGTCTCAGCATAGTGCTCAATTTCTTTGGCTTTACTCTCCCACCAGTTGTCTTGTATCTGACAGAGGTCTTTCTGTGTTTTGCTCTGAAGGTACTTGAAATGGTCCCGTTTAGAGACTGAGGAGCGGTCATTCTGCCATTCGATAAAGGCTTTTCTCTTTACTTCCAATGCTGAGCATATTTCTTCTTGGTTCTCATCAAACCAATCCTGATGTGTTCTTTTCTTTGGTCCAAGAGATGTGATTTCTTAATCACTGGTCCAAACAGTAGTCACTATCTGCTTGAACTGGTCTACTTTTCGGTTACAGTACCGATCAGTTGTCCGTGGGATGTCAGTTTGTCATCAAGACTCTTCTGGAATTTGTTGAAACATTGAGCATTCTTCAATTTGGCTATATTGAAAGCAGGTCGCACATGCTTAGGGCGTTTGTGCCGAGAGGAACAATGTAGAGATGTCCTGACTAATCTGTGATCTGTACAGCACTCTGCACCTCGCATTACTCTGGTAATCAGTACGTCTCGGATGTCTCGCCTTCTAACAATGGCATAATCTATCAGATGCCACTGTTTGGACCTAGGGTGCATCCACGTCGTTTTGTATTTGTCGGCTTGTTGGAACAGAGTGTTGGTAATGGTCAGGTCATTTTCAGAACAAAGACTCAAAAGAAGTAGTCCATTACTGTTCATTTTGCCTACACCATGTGGCCCGATTACTCCTTTCCAGTTCTCGCTGTCAGCCCCGACTCGGGCATTGAAATCTCCAAGTAGGAGTAGTTTATCTGTTACAGGTGTGGCCTTGATCAGTCTGTCGAGATCTTCATAGAATTGTTCCTTTGAGTTGTCAGAGCATGTTAAAGTGGGTGCATATGCACTGATGATGGTGACATGACGTTTGGCATTTAGTGGGAAGCGTAGCTTCAGCAGTCTTTCATTGATACCCACTGGAATGTCTGGGAGTTGATGCATCAATAAGGTTTTTATTGCCAGACCAACTCTGTGTATTCTGTCCTCTGTCTCAGACTTACCCTTCCAAAAGAAGGTGTAACCACCTCCTGGTTCACTCAAGAAACCTTCCCCAGGCAATCTTGTTTCACTTAATGCCGCTATATCGATATTATAACGGACTAGTTCTCGAGCAATGAGGGCTGTTCTTCTCTCAGGTCTTGCAACAGCTTCTCGATACATGAGGGTACGAACATTCCATACACCAATGCTAAGTTTTCTCAAATTTTTCTTTTGTTTTCGGCCGCAGATTGGGTTGAACTGCCAGCCGCGGCTTGCTGGCCAGTTGTTATAGGGCAGGCAATTTTTAGGCCACCTTTTCTAGGCCCCTCCCTTACTAGGGTGAGCAGTGCTGTCCTGAAGAGGGCTGCTCAGACGCCTGGGATGCTGCCGGGCAACTCTGCTGCCCCAAGTACAGATCTGGACGACCACCTATCCACAGGCCGCCTGCATGCAGGATTGGGACTACGACTCCCAGTGGTAACCTCCACCTGTCGCTTTGCCCCTCCCGCATCACCGCAGGACTTGGGTAGTATGATGATGATGATGTTTGATGATTTGCACAGGACCTGTGCGTGAAAGCTTTTGAGTGGTAGAACCATTGCAAGGGAGCAATCCCACTCTCTCTACCTTAGAAGCCAGACACCAATGGTATGAAAAATCGTCACGACTGGTAACTTCTTTGGTTGCAGTGGATGGCCTTGATGTCTTTTGTGCCTCGTCATGTCCTTCACTTTCCACAAAGCGTTGCAGAACCGCCTTCTTGGCCGTTGGATCTTAGTGATCTCTTTTGCCCAATCCGCCGGAGCTGACGTCGCATGCGGGGTAGGCATATCCCAAATTCACTGAGGGTTTGAGTCCCATCAGTTACACTCACCTGGTTTGGCCGGCCTGTCGAAGCCGTAGCCTAGGGTGTGGCCGCTGCGCATGCTGCAGCTACTTGGAGCCACAGGTGAGAGCTGAGTGACAGGTGGGGACCAAAGTTGATGGACTACCCCCAAAGGGTATGACAAGTCCCCCCATTAGAGGTACTACCCCTCCCTGGCCACCTCATACATGAATTTATCTAGTTCTCTTTTAAATGCTGTTATAGTCCTCGCCTTCACAACCTCCTCAGGCAAGGAGTTCCACAAGTTGACTGTGCGCTGTGTGAAGAAGAACTTCCTTTTATTTGTTTTAAACCTGCTTTCCATTAATTTCATTTGGTGACCTCTAGTTCTTGTATTATGGGAATAAGTAAATAACTTTTCCTTATCTACTTTCTCCACATCACTCATGATTTTATATACCTCTATCATATCCTCCCTTAGTCTCCTCTTTTCCAAGCTGAAAAGTCCTAGCCTCTTTAATCTCTCCTCATATGGGACCCATTCCAAACCCCTAATCATTTTAGTTGCCCTTCTCTGAACCTTTTCTAG